AGATACTTCTGTCAAAAGGGAAGCTACCGGATCTAAAGAATGTAGATGTTGGACTATGCGAGGATTGCATCTTTGGCAAATAAAAGAAAGTCAGTTTTGCAAAGATTGGCAAGACACCCAAGGCAGAAAGGTTAGAATTGGTTCATACTGATGTATGGGGACCATCCCCAGTTCCATCTCTTGCAGGCTCACTATATTATGTCACCTTCATCGATGATTCAACAAGGAAGGTGTGGGTTTATTTTCTGAAAAAGAAATCAGAAGTCTTCGATACCTTCAGAAAATAGAAGGCCATGGTGGAAAATGAGACTGGTTTAAAAGTCAAGCGGTTGAGGTCTGACAATGGAGGAGAGTACAGAGATAGTAGATTCAGAGATTTATGCGCAAATAATGGGATCAAGATGGAGACAACAGTTCCCATAACACGCAGCAGAATGGCGTAGTAGAGCGCATGAACAGAACTCTGAATGAACGTGCCAGAAGTATGAGGATACATGCCGGATTGCCCAAATTTCTATGGGCTGAAGCTATTAACACTGCAGCTTACCTGATCAACCGTGGGCCCTCAGTTCCTTTGGATGGCAGAATACCAGAGGAAGTTTGGAGTAAGAAATAAATAAATCTTTCACACTTAAGAGTATTTGGTTGTATTTCTTATGTACACATAGACTCTGCTGAAAGAAGTAAACTTGATGCTAAGTCCAACAAATGTGCCTTTGTTGGTTACGGTGGTGATGAGTTCGGTTACCGGTTTTGGGACTATGAAAATCGGAAGATCATTAGAAGCAGAGATGTCATTTTCAATGAGAATGTGATGTACAAAGACAGGTCAACTGTAGAATCAAGCAGCTCCAATACCAAAGCTGAAACAAAGGAATTTTATGAGTTTGAGGAGATTTCTGGAAATGATGTTCAGATCAGTCCTGAAGCAGTTCAAGAAGAACCAGGCACACCGGAACTAAGACGCTCCTCCAGAATTCCTAAACCAACCCAACGGTATTCTCCTTCTTTGCACTACTTGTTGCTGACTGACAATGGTGAACCAGAGTGCTATGATGAAGCAATGCAAGTGGAGGATTCAGTCAAGTGGGAGTCTTCCATGAAAGATGAGATGGACTTGCTTTTGTCAAATCAGACGTGAGTATTAGCTGAATTACCACTAGGCAAGAAAGCGCTTCACAACAAGTGGATTTACAGGATCAAAGAAGAGCACGATGGGAGCAAACGCTACAAAGCGAGATTGGTTGTCAAAGGTTTTCAGCAAAAAGAAGGTATTGACTACAATGAAATTTTCTCTCCAGTCGTGAAACTGTCTACAATCAGACTGGTGTTGAAAATTGTAGCTACAGAGAATTTACATCTTGAGCAGTTAGATGTAAAGACAACTTTCCTTCATGGTGATTTGGAGGAAGAAATCTATATGAGGCAGCCAGAAGGCTTCATAGAGGCAGACAAGAAAAACCTGGTATGCAGGTTGAATAAGAGCTTGTATGGTTTAAAACAAGCTCCTAGACAGTGGTACAAGAAGTTCGATAGTTTCATGAGTAGCAGTGGTTTTACCAGATGCCAAACAGATCATTGTTGCTACATCAAGAGGTTCGACAATAGCTTCATTATTTTATTGTTGTACGTTGATGACATGCTCGTTGCAGGCTCAGACATGCAAGAGATTATAAACTTGAAGCAAAAATTGTCAAAGTAGTTTGCTATGAAGGATCTGGGCACTGCAAAGCAGATTCTTGGGATGAGGATCAAGAGAGACACAAAGTCAGGGACTTTGATATTATCACAGGCTGAGTACATCAACAAAGTACTCTCCAGGTTCAACATGCAAGATGTTAAACCAGTAAGTACACCTTTAGGTGTTTATTTCAGACTCTCCAAAGAACAGTCACCAAAGACGGAGGAAGAACGTGCACACATGGTGAAGGTGTCGTACGCCTCAGCAATTGGAAGTCTGATGTATGACATGGTTTGTACCAGACCAGATATTGCTCAAGCAGTGGGAGCTGTTAGCAGGTACATAAATAATCCGGGCAAGGTACACTGGGAAGCAGTCAAATGGATCCTCAGATATCTGCGGGGTACCACAAACAAAGCACTTTGTTTCAAAGGTGGAGATACAATACTGACAGGCTATGTAGATGCTGACTTAACCGGAAATGTTGACATCAGAAGGAGCACTACAGGGTATATCTATACTCTAAGAGGAACCGTAGTGAGTTGGGTTTCTCAACTACAGAAGATAGTTGCTCTCTCCACAACTGAAGCAGAATATGTCGCTGTTATGGAAGCTAGCAAGGAGATGGTTTGGCTCCAAAGTTTCTTGGAAGAGTTAGGCAAGAAACAAGAAAACAATGTCTTGTATTGCGACAGTCAAAGTGTTATACATCTAGCAAAGAATCCGTCTTTTCATTCCATGACAAATCACATACAATTGCGATATCATTTTATCCGGTCTCTTCTGGAAGATGAGATTTTGAAACTTGAAAAGATCAGTGGAGCTCAAAATCCGGCAGATATGTTGACAAAGACGGTGACTACAGACAAACTGAAGTTGTATTCAACTTCAGTTGGCATGCTAGAGTAACAAGACTAGAAAAGTTGTTGCATTGATCGAGGTGTGAAGACAGATTAAAATCAGCCTTCAAGTGGGAGATTGTTGAAAGTATTAAAATGGTTTTCAAGTTTGGTAACCAACTTTGAAAAAATGGTTTTCAAAGTTTGGTAAATGTTTTTTTGAAAATGATTTTCAAAGTTTGGTAAATGTTTCTTTGAAAAATAGTTTTTCAAAGTTTGGTAGATGATTGTTGAAAAATGATAATGGGATAATCACAATTAATCTCTAGGTTTTAGGGTATTTACAAGATTAAGTCCTTAAGTTTCAACTATAAATACCCTAGCTCATTTAGCTTCAAAACCATCCCAAAAATCATTTTATTTCTTCCAATACTAGAGAGATTTCTTGTGAGTAGTGAGTGTTTTGTAAACACCTGTAAATTTTCTCTCTTAGTAAAAGATATGCAGCAGTCCGGAGACGTAATCACAATTGGTTGAACTCCGTTATCAATTTCGGGTATTATTTTTCCGCTTTTATTTTGCATTCTCACTAATCTGGTTATAGGGAAATTACTTGTACTCGGTTTATTTCCTAACACTCTTGTCACTTTAAACATAAAATTATTCCATATTCCAACTTCCCAGTCAAATAAAGCCCTCCTTAATTCCATTTTCCACACCCAAACATTACTTAACCAAAGCCCAAAGTCTTTCACTTTTCCGGATTTATTAATGGCAATATTAAAAATCCGACGGAACGACACTTAAGAGATGGAATATCAATCCAGAAATCTTCCCAAAAATTAATTTTTCCCCGTCTCTCACAACACATCTCAAATTGTTGTAGAAAGGATTTTCGATCTGACTCAACGGAGATGAGATGTTTCTCCATATCCAGGACATTTTCCTCTTTGGAACTGATTTTGACAACAATGAGGGCTGTTCGAATCCACATTTGGCTGCTATTACTTTCTTCCAAAGACATTCTTCTGAGTTTTCGAAACGCCATGGCCATTTGTTGAGTAACGCTGTATTTTTTAATCTCACATCAAAGAAGCCTAATCCGCCGAATAATATTGGCTTAAACAGATTTTCAAACTTCACCAATGAATGGCCCTGCCAGAATTGGATCCCCGTATGAAATTAGCTATGCTCTTGTTTAACTTCGCTGCAATCGTTGCCGGGATTTGAAACAAAGATAGATAGTAGATCGGCAGGTTAGATAAAACAGATTTGACCAATGTGATACGTCCACCATAGGAAAGAAGACTGCTTTTCCAATTATCCAACCGGGATTGAAATTTTTTAACAACAGGTGTACTTGAATTCATAATCTCTAAAGAGATAACATTCTCTTTTACTAATAAATGTACTTAATGAATTCAAAACTAATGAAAAATTATATTTAATTGATCGAAATATAATGTCCATACATTATTATTGAAAGAATCAAATACATAAATTTGTATATTATGAATATATATATATATATAAATATATTAAAAAATCCATTGTGTAAAGTGTAACGTTTTGTAATAGAAAAGATGGGGGAATAATCACGGACATCTCGGTCGTTCTTTTGCGAACAAAATGCGGTGGGTTTGATTAAACAAGTTGTAATGGAAGAAAACATGGAGAATTTGTTTTTGGTATATTTATTAGCGAAAACAAGTTGACTTTTATCTTTAAAAAAATTGTTTTTATCGAAAAATCATTTTAATATTAAAATATTCTCAAACATACACCCAATCACCAAATATATATCCTAGATAACACTCATTAAAAAAACTCAGCTAAGGCACGTTTGGTGCATCGCGCCTTTGCCTGTGTCAGTGCCCCACAAAGGCGCATCCAACGTGGCGCGCCTCCCCCTCCCCCTCCCCCCGACTGCTTTTCCGCCCACGTTTCTCGCCCTTACATTCCTGCCTGGCTTTCCCACCACCGTTTCCTGCCCTCCCATCCCCTATGTAAACCACCCTTGACCTCATACAAACCACACCCAAAATTACATCTTCTTTCCATCTATTGATTTCTAGCCAATAAGGTATATTGTTATTTTTTATATTTAATAAATTTATTATTCTTTTATTACATAATTTTGTATTATTTTATTATTTAATTGTAAACTTATTTAATTTATATTTATTATCTACAGTTAAAAGAAATGGAAAGCGAGACGTTGCTATTGGATACTGATCATATTTCGAGTTATTTTGCTGATACGGTCAGAATACAAAACTATATTCTTTTTAAATTTTTGAATATTAGGAAATCGATCATATATTATTTTAAATTGTTAGAATTTATTTAAATAATTTTTGAAATATTAGTTCAAATTTTAATGGTTAGAATTTATTTATTAGGAAACTGGTCGAATATTAGAACTTTTTATTCATAACAACAAGATGAATACATCGAGTCGTATCTGGCAGTATTTATCTATGGTTGGATTTGGTTACTTAGCAAAAATTGAAGGAGGTTGTAAACTTAAACCCATCCTTATTTATGCACTAATTGAGAGGTGGAGGCTAGAGACACACACAATCCATCTACCATGTGGGGAGTGCACAATTATCCTAGAGGATGTTTCAATGCAGTTAGGGCTCCCAGTAGATGGAACTGCCATTTTTAGTGTGGCAGATGATGATTGGGAGAATCTGTGCAAAGAGTATCTTGGAATTGCCCCGACGACTTTCAACTATGGTCGAATAACATTATCATGGTTGCAAAGGACTTTTAAAGAGTTACGCGAAATTTTTTTCGAGGACGAGGTAAAAGCATTTGCCCGAGCATACATATTACAAATTATTGGAGGGACATTGATGCCTGACAAGTATGAGAATCAGGTCCATTGTATGTGGTTGCGTTATCTCATCGATTTTCAAATAGCCAACATGTTGAGTTAGGGCTCTGTAGTGTTGACTTTTTTGTTTAGAGAAATGTGTCGGGCCACGAAATATAGTAGAACTACTATTGACGACTGTCTCATGCTCTTCCAATTGGTCATGGTATCGCATGTCTTTTTTGTGTCCGATCGTGAATGAGTCATTTGTCTTTCCATTACTATCAAGAAAATTTCAATGCTAAATTTATTTTTAAATAATATTTTTTATTATTATAGAATGACACACACACACACACACACACACACATATATATATATATATATATATATATATATATATATATATATATATTAAATAGGTGGTCATCAAATAGAAAAAATATCGTAATATCCCACAAGAATTAGAATATATTCGATTACTCATTGACCAGAAAGCTGGAGTATAGGTACATTTTTTAATTTTAAATTTAATTTTTTTATTTAATTGTCTTTATATAATTTGAATCTCATTTAAATTTTGATAAGAAATATATTTTTTTGTTTTGGTTCAAATGGTTGTCCTATTTGAACGATGAAATGACGATTTGCATCCCAACTGACTTGAGTGGGCAATTGGATGTATGGTTGGCGATTGTACCTCTTATTTGTTATGCTATTGTTGAGTGGCATCCGACTGACTGTGTGCTTCGTCAGTTTGATTTCACACAATATATTCCTGAAGCACCAATAAATCTCAACAATATGCATAACATCGATAGACAGGGGGGAAATGAGGTTAATTGGTTGGTGAAGCATAGAGATTAGTTAGCGATGTGGGAGAATTGGCATCAATGATTGTCCCATCGAGAGTATATGTTAGAAATTGGTATCGTGTTTTTAGATGGCTATATTAAATTATTCAATGCAAACGGGAAGTCATCATCGTCAGAAGTATCGTATACCAACTCCTAGAATAAACCCTCATCCAAGTAGACAACCACCATCATATGGAACACATTCAAGGAGGCATCAATATATAATGTTGATAATATTTTCATTTATTGTAATATTTTTATTTATTGGTTTTTAGGTTTCCATCAAATAACATGAAATATGTTTTTAGCTCTTATTTGGTTTAATTATTATGTCTTTATATTAAGTAAGTTTTTATATTATGTGTAATGTTTACGTTAAGGGGTATCTTGTAAAATAAATAAGCTCAAATCACGTTAATTGGTACTGAAATAAAATGAAATAACATAATTTGAAACATTAGAAAATAGAACTACATGAGTAGTGGTCATCGATTACGTGATTATAAAAGAGATGGACAATTTTTCCTATTGCGGCCTAGGTTTCTACAACGCCCACATCTTTTATGTTCTTTTAACTTCTCTCGAATATCCATATTACAATGAATTCGAGTGAATTTTAGACAACCTAGATCCCATAATAAGTCTGGATCTGATATAAGTGAAAGCTAAGTATGAACCTCATTTGGGTTTTTTTTCATTACCTATGGGGGAAACTCATATTCATATACCTTGAATACTTCTAAAAGTTGGTATATGAGATCCAAATAACGCTTATAGTCTTGACGAGAATGTGAGCAAACTGTTATGACATGGGGCATGGATACTTCAGAGCTTGAAAAAACTCACAATCACACCACCTCTTTCATAGATTAACTCTAAAAGAGTTATATTCAATCCCTTGAAGAGGTCGTGGCATTTCTATGACATGAAATAATTTTTGGGTGCAAGAAAAGCTTATCACCGACATTCTGTTTAATGCTGCAACTTTTTCCTGTAAATCTGCTATTAATCTTGGGTGATAAGCATGACCATTTTGTATCCAAGTAAGAGCTTGACTCCCGAGCTTCGTAAAAAGCTGTTCCAAATAAAAATATGTCGTTTTAACCAAAGCAATTACGGGTATATGACACCCCCTTTAAGGTTGAATTGATATCCTCGACCAAGTTGATTGTTATATGTCCATATCGATATCTGTCATCGTATGCATTTCTTTACTTTTCTTTATTGATTTCACTGATGTAATTATATACATACTAATTGTTTCCTCACAATTCTTGAAGCATATCCTCAAACCTTTGAGGTAAGAGTTTGTAACCTAAGCGTCATATGTACTAGTTAGTACGATATAGAAATAGATAAGTTAAAAATGATTGAGAAAAAATTTGAAAAAATAACATAACCATGTGTATAATTAATTGGCGTTCATCATTCTTCTTGTATTTTCCTTGGTAGTTGTCGTAACCGTATTTCGGTTGGGCCCCAGAATTGGGCTTCGACTTGAAAAATGTGGATTGGAGTCACCACCGATCATTTTAAAACGAATTTCGGCGGGTCGGACACCATCTTACCTGATCTGCGTTTTTACCAGAAATGTGTCGGGTTCGGGAGTCAGTTACGGTCAAGGAAGGATTAGCACCCTTGAACCGCCCTTTCGGTACCAATTAATTTGCCGGTTGTCTTAGTTGCGAAAATTCAAAATTAAAATTTAACATATTCGATTCAAATTACTTACAATTGATTGATTTGAATACCCTTAAAAGATAAAAACGTTTGACTCGTAGCGGAGTATAAAATCGAATTAGGATAGCAAGTGTGCAAACGTGAGAATAATAAATAAAACAAGAAAAAATGAAAAATAACAAAACATGTAAAAAAATAAAAAAAATAATAAAAATAAACAAAATGAATAAAATATTAAAAAAACAAAGACACAGATAAAGGGAAAATATTAATGGAGTAAAAAAAATAAAAAAGGTAAAAGAAATAAAAAAGAAATAAAAATAATATGTACATATAAAGTAGTATTTACTAAAACAAATAAAAATAATCAATATATAATACTAAGTAAAAACAAATAAAAAAAAGATATACATGATATTAAGGAAAAAAATAATAGAAAAAAATAAAATAAAGTAAAAATATAATATATATAAATAAATAGAAACAAAAATAGAATATTAAGAAAAAATATATATAAAAACGTATAAAATATAATATTAAGAAAAAATATATATACATAGTAAATGGAGAAAAATTAATACATCTATACATATATATATAATGATATAAGATATATATATAATAAAAATAATATAATATAAATAAAAAAGGAATATAGTAAATAAATAAAAAATATAATTAAAAATATATATATAGGAGACGAAATTAATATAAAAAGTAAAATTAAAGGGAAAATTTCAAGGTAAATTAAAGATTAAGATTGACTTAGGGGGAATATTAAATACTTTAAGAAAATGAACATGCTCGGGAGTAGATCTAGGTTCGAAACTTCGAAAGCCCACCCCTTTTTAGTCATCGGCGCAACCCACACTTTGGGTTATTCAAACCAAATCTCAAGAAAAATAACATGCACATGAGTGAAATGAACGAATCAATGTAAAAAAAGATAATACATTTTATTTCCTTTTCGAATCGTTTTAAATAGCTTTGCCTTTGTATTTTTTCGTGTTTTCCTCTGTATCTTGTATATAAATCGTGTTACAAAGGGGGAGGATTACATGTATTTATAGTGAAAAAAACTAACTATTTTTAGAATCCTATTAACAATAGAATCCTAATGCAACTAGACTCCTTGCTCGGTTGTTGCACGTTTGTTGGTGTGGTTGTTGCTTTAAAAGATATGAAGGTGGAAGAGTCCTCTTAGGAGATGAACTCTTGCTAGTTCTATCTTTTAAGAAAATGGGTGTCTACAGTAGTTTTCAACAATTTGCAGAAACAAAGTCAATGTTGAACGTATGGGGGTTTCCACATTGGACCCAAAGAGTCAATCGCTGCTTTGATCCCAACTCCTTGATTTGACATGACATAAATATGTTCCCTCGTGACTACATGCAACTATAGATTTCTTAGATAAAAAACTTCAGACTCTGTATCTTCTCATTCAACAAGGGCAAAGGCAACGAGAAGAATGTGGCGATTACCATCTTGGCCTACTACCAATAAAACTTGTTTGTATTTTCCATACAAGAATGTACCATCAATTTGGACTACAGGTTTGCAGTATTTCACAACATTAATGCATTGTAGGTAAGTCTAGAAAACACAATAGAATTGGCATTGATCTCGAAGCACTCGATCATTCTCGTAGGCATGGCTAGTTTCGAACTCAACTACTATCCCATGATTCAGTGTTCGTAATAGGTTAAACCAACTGGGTAGTTTGTTGTAATATGCATCCCACTCACTGTGTATTTTTATAATGACATTATGTTTTGTCTTCTATGCGAAGACAGTGTACCTATATTGAGATTGTATTGCAGAAATCAACACTACAATAGCTATGTGAGAGCTTGCTTTGACCATGTGTATGATGGCTTGACAAATCACGTTTGAGTCCAAGTTTTGATGATCATGGTTGATCCCTCGTGCACAACATGTATATGAGGACCACTATATTTTGTTAGTTCTCATATGTCGTTATTTCTCTTCCTCTTTGAAATACGAACAATCTAGTTGCAACCGTTATCACGTTCGACACAATAACATACATATTTTTTGTGGTAGATCGATCGACTCTAGAGTAAACTGAATTACAAATATTGTAATTCTTTATTGTCATCATTGCTTCGTCTTTAGATGTGAACTCCATTTCACGATATAAATCACCATCATTGACTGGTAAATGCCTCTCATAGTCTCTAATGTTGGGCATATCCAAAAATTATGACCCGTACATCGCGTCATAGTCATCTTCATAAATGTGTGATGGAGGTTCATATTGAAACATATTTATGAAAACTTCATATGTATCATCAGAGTCCTTGTTGAATTGCGGTGATTCGGGTTCAACGAATAATACAATCTCAACACCATCCACTCATGCTCACGAAGAGGTTGTTCTAGTGAAGATGTGAGTTCCTATGTAATTTTGATGTTTAGGTCGAACAAGTTTGCAGATGAATGCCTTACTCTGGAACTTGAAGGGATATCGTCATATGGGTTATAAACTAAGTGTTGTGTCGAAAACATCTCTATATTGAGGTCAAAGAAACTAGAATATGAATGTCTCCCCTGTAACTGTGAGACA